TGAGAAAAGGCTGATTATGCTGAGATTTGAAGGAGGTAAGAGTGAATCAGGTAAAGAGAACAGCTTGTGCACAAGCCTCTCGTGGCTGGAGGCAGGAGGAGTTCTAGAGGTCATTAGAAGCCCCAATGGATGGAGTGCAGAATTAGGAGAAGATGGTCTGAGAAAGCTGGCAGGCAGAGCGATTGCTATCTTTCAGGGCTCCCTCGTACTAATTATTAAAAGCACCCTTACGTACTCCTAGCAGATGTAACCTACACCAAACTGTGGGCTTGGCAAATCAAGTGTGGCCTGGATTTCAGGCCCACTTTCCCCCTCAGCCAGCTTTCCTTGGCCCAGGTCCAAACTACACAGTTGTATGCTGTGGACTTCGCTACAGGGGCAGGCAGGGGCCGGAGCCTACAGGGCCTGGTAGAATGTGTAAAGAGTTCTGTTTTTACTCTAAGAGCAATGAGAAGTGAGAAAATGGATGGATGGATTCATATTTGCAGTGATCCCTTTGGCTGTTATAGAAAAACACCAATTTGGAGAAGTCCACTGTGAGTAAATTGTTCCTCACTTTCTTGGTGAGTCAGGCTTCCTCAGGAACCAAACTGCGAAAATAGCTTTTTGGGTTAGAAAATTGGAACTCTATGAAAACTGCTTCTGCTGCTCAGGAAATATTTCACTGCTTCAGTGATTTTTGTTGGCATTGTAACATGAAAGGAGTTACCAAAAGTGAGCTTGAGTTTATCTGAGGATCTCAGTTTTGGTAAACTTTTATCGCCAACTTTGCATCTGGTGGCCTTGGGACAAACTCATTAACTTCTCTGTTCCTTAACTTACTTTTCCTGTAGAATGAGGCAAGTTCTCAAGGTAACAATCAGCTCTAAAATTTTGTGATTGGCCAAGATTTTTTTCCCTTCCGCAGCTTAGGCTGGAACTATAGTTAGCTGAATCATGTTGGCAAGTTTAAGGCATGTGTTCACACCCACTAATAACCACCTTCCTTCAGAGAGAGAGAAACAAGAAAGCTAAGGGATTTCCCAGAACGATCCCACTTGCTTACCCCAACTGGAAGAATGGGGTTACTTAGAATGTTTGGGGGTTGGGAAGAAATTACTGAGTCTGGTTAACAATACAGAACAGGTTATATTGTGAATTACTGTCATAATTACATCAACTGGCACCTTTTTTCCTCCCCTGGATCCTTTTGAGTACATTTCTTCACTTCTCAGGAGCTTAGCTTATTCATCTATGTAATGGGACACAACCACTTCATTTTTCAAGACTGCTACAGGCTTCTGTGGTGGAATTCTAAGCCTTTTTACAACCATCAATGATTCCACTAGGATTTTCAACTATTTATTTATTCATTTATTTATGTGAATATATATATATATATATATATGTAGGTACATGTTTTTATTTTTATCTCACAATGGAAAAACATACTTAATGTTTTTTATTTGTGAAACTAGGTCCT